CAGTCACTCGTCCAGCTTCACACTTGTTAAATTCCTGCTTTCCCTGACATTCCCCCTCGTTGCCCTCGCTTTTTTCACAAGCGGAGGAGGCTGCCTCATGCATCGGCCCATCAACATCTTCTGGACTTGGTGGCCTTGCCTTTGGTACCGCTCCTTCCTCCTTATCTACCGTCCTCCCGAAGAACAGAGACACCAGCCACGCACCTGAGGTACCCTGATCACAAAAAAAGAAGAGCGGGAAGAGAAACGCAGGCAAACCCAAAAGGAAGAAGACACAGATGAGGGGCGAGAATGCTTTGCATTTACCGTTTGCTTTCGCACACAACACAGGTGCACACTACTGAGCCGTTCTCCACGTAGTCAAAAAGGTAAGCGTGCACGCTCGTTCAGATTAGAAATTCCTACACTTACTGGCTGCTCGTAGCAGATTCTCGATGAAGCGCCGAATCGATGAAGCACCTGTGGCAAGCGATGACGAAGGCGGCAGCGGTCAGTCCAACAAGCGGGCACGGGCGCTGATGCAGAGCCCTTCTGTTGCCTGCCAGGCTACTCCCGCTACGCCTAGTCTTCCGCCTGAGCTCTGGTGCCATATCTTGAGCTTTCTCAAGAATCGCAGCCTGTTCGGCTCGACGAGTCTCGTCTGTTCATCGTGGAGGTACGCCCGGCCTCACCTCCATACGCTCCGAGTACTCGGAGAGCTCAAGAGCGGGAGTCTTCTCTTTTAGGAGTCTATCGCTGCGGGCGGTACGAACCATCAACTTCAGAAACGAGAGGTGGGCACGCAACAACACGTCAGGTACGCAGTGATTCTTCTTTCTGCGAGGTTGGTCAAGGAAAGTGCGGCATCGTTGCTGACCTTATACGTTCAGAGGACGAGATAGTGAGACGCTTCGCTTACATTCAGGCCAACTGTCCCTCCGTTCGAGTGCTGCGGCTGTCGTGTTCGAACGCTCTCCTTCCCTTCTTGCCTCAGAGCTTGAAGGAGCTGCACTTCACCGGTACACACGCTTTGCATCTCTTAACCTCGTATGATGGTGCTGAAGAAGTGATGCATGTAGGACTGCAAGCGCACTGCTCTCAACAGTCAAGTCTGTCGTTGGTGGTGGGCACTCTGGTCTTCCTTCCCTCTTCTCTGAGGCGCCTGTCGCTGTCGCCCCAGCTCAAGCCCACCGACGACGCTCTGGCTAGCCTATGCGCGCGCAACCTGAGCTTCCTCGAAGAGCTCACCATCATGGACGCCTCGCTTATCACCGATCGAGGCCTGCAGCGTCTCTCTACCTCGGCCTCGCTGACGTCGTCCTTGCGAACTCTTCGTCTGTGCTGTGCCAGAGGCATAACGAATGAGGCAGCATCGCACATCGCTCGCTTCGCCAACCTCACGACGCTCAGTCTCGCGTGCTGCCCCCTCTCTGCTGCGGGCATCAGGGCCTTCGCCTCTCT